CGTGGGGGCGGGATCGCGTGGCGAAGGAAGACGAGCTCCTGCGGCAGCTCCCCCTACTGCCCGACTTGCAGTGCGCGTGGTTGCTCCTGGCGTACTGCGCCTCGCCGCGCGCTAACCACGCCCTGCGAACTGTGCCGCCCGAGTTGATCAAGCCGTACGCTGCGGCGCACGATGCGGCTGTGTGGGGCACGTTGCAAGCTTGTGTTGGCGAGCCGGCCGAGGACGCGGAGTGCCCGGCACGCGCCATCGCGCTGTTGCCCGCAAGCTTAGGAGGTCTGGGTCTCACTCAGGCAACACGCGCAGCCCCCGCAGCTTACTGGGCTGCGTGGGCTGACTCGCTCGCCGTCTTCGAGGCCCGCTGCCCCAGGTTTGCCGCATGGGCGGTCGCGGCTCTCCAGGATGGCACGGCCCAGCGTGCCTGCGAGCCGCCGAGGCTGGTCGGCAGCTACTCCTCAACGAAGGCTGGGTCGATGTGCCGACCTGGTCGCGCTAGGCAGTCGAGACCGCCGGGACCCGAGCCCGACGCCACTGAGCCTGGCGGGCGGGTGCATGGATGGCAGTTTCACGCGTCGCGTACTCGGAACCGTTTCTTCCGCGACCGCGTGTTGCTGCCTTCCTTGTCGCCCGCTCATCGCGCTCTTCTGCGTTCACAGGCTGGGCCCCACGCCGGCGCATGGCTTACGGCCATCCCAAGTGACCCCCACACGACGCTTTCGCCGGAGATGATGCAGATCGCACTGAGGCGACGCCTCCGCCTGCCGCTTCCGCTGGCCGCAGGGCGTTGCGGTGGGGATGGCGGACTGTCCACCCCGGGGTGTGGCCGCCTTGTCGATGAGCACGGCGACCATGCCTTGGCTTGCCCCCGGACGGGCCTGCTTGCGCACCGTGCCAAAGTCCTCGAGCGCACCTGGGTGCGCGTCGCGCGCGAGGCTGTCGGGCCAGAGGGCCAAGTGGTGCCGCAGCAATGGCTGGCCCAGACCAGAGGGCCAAGTGGTGCCGCAGCAATGGCTGGCCCAGACCACCGCGCCTGGAGTATCCTGGAGTACCCCCGGGGGACCGTCGCCGCTTGGACCTCGTCATCTACGGGGCGACCCCGTTGGGAGGGGCGCTATGCTGCGACGCCACACTCGTCTCGCCGCTGGCGAGGGATGGCACGCCCCACTGCGGAGCCGCAGACCGTGACGGGGCCGTGCTGCGCACGGCCGAGCGGCGTAAGCGGGCCACCTACCCCGAGCTCGCACAGGGGGGGGCGCAACAGCTCTGCGTGCTTGGTTGTGAGGTCGGGGGGCGCTGGAACGCCGAGGCAGCGTCAGTGGTGCGACGCCTGGTCCGTTTGCGGGCCTGCCGCGCCCCGGCACCTCTGCGCGCGGTTGCCGGCCTCGCCTGGGCACGCAGGTGGTGGAGCGCCCTGTCCGTTGCATGCCAGCAGGCAGTCGGCTCAACGGCGCTGGGGAGGGCAAGGGCGGTAGTGGGGCCGGCGCAAGACAGCCTGCCGACCCTGGCTGCCGTCCTGGCTCTTGGTGACCCGGACGGACCGAGCCTGCCGCTGTGCTGAAGCCCGCCGGCTGCCGCTGCGGGCGTGGTGTAGCTTGCCCGGGTAGTTTTTGGAGCCGACCAAGCGGATCAGCAGGCATAAAAGTCCGAGGAAGAAAAAAAAACGACGGTTTTAGCACCGCGACCACGCCGAAACCCGCAGAGGGTTGTCCGCGCAAATCAAGAAACGTAAAAAAACGACGGTTTTAGCACCGCGACCACGCCGAAACCCGCAGAGGGTTGCAATCCCGATTGGCGATGTCAACCCAGCCCGCCGCCTTAGAAAGAGTAATTTTAATTTAGAAATCTAGGACTGGGTACGAAGGTCTACTAAATTCTACGTAAATCTCGTAATTTCTATTAACTTCTACTTCACTCTATGCAATTCACTCTATGCACTTCACTCTATGCACTTCACTCTATGCAATTCACACTATGCAATTCACTCTATGCAATTCACTCTATGCACTTCACTCTATGCACTTCACTCTATGCACTTCACTCTATGCACTTCACTCTATGCACTTGACTCTATGCACTTGACTCTATGCACTTCACTCTATGCACTTGACTCTATGCACTTCACTCTATGCACTTGACTTTATGCACTTGACACTTCACTCTATGCACTTCACTCTATGCACTTCACTCTATGCGCTTCACTCTATGCACTTCACTCCATGCTCTTCACGCTATGCACTTCACTCTATGTACTTCACTCTATGTTGTTGGGTCAGAGGGCTCCGCACGGAAGAGCCCCGCGCGATGCTTTCGGGAAAAACGTCGCATAAAGCAGAAGATCATCAGCAAAGCGAACGTTTGGCAATCGCACTGCCGTTCCAATATCCCACCATGATGACTGAGACGCCGCTTCGATCTATCTAACGCACATTCCAAGGCAACGTTGAAGAGGAGAGGGCTGAGAACATCACCTTGCTTGACCCCACGCCGTATATGAAATGGCCGATCTCTGACAGCGCCCGTTTGTGACGTGTATAAGGGTCTCAGCAAAGAAACGTATGCACCAGGCATGCCAGCCGCATCCAACGCTGCAAAAAGTGACTCGTGATCAACTCGATCGAAAGCTTTCCATCAAAGGAGCCGAGCGTCCCAATAGTAGCTTGGAAATTATTTTGTACGTGATTTTGAGGACCGCAATCGGACGCCACTTCTGTACCAAAGACTTGTCGCCCGTTTTAGGCAACATGGTAAAAACGGTATTTTTCCATGACTGCTCCACATGGGCGGACGTCAAAATACCATGTATGTAAAATTATGATGGAAGGGCGACATGAAGTTCCGCTCTTGCTTGTTTATGTTTTTGCCACAAGGCGGCACCATGCGTATATGCAGGTTTCAGGCTCTCCCCCATGTAAGCGTGGCGCTAGGTGTTCCTTTCCAAAAGCTAACATTTTGGGGTTTCGGGTTTAGGGTCTAGGGTTTATGGATGTGAGAGGCTTTGGGGTTTCATGCTTGGGGTTTAGGGTTTAGGGTTCGGGCCTTTTTGGGTTTAGGGTTGTAGCGGGCCCTAAACCCTAAACCCTCAATTCTAGTACAGGGTTCAGGATTAAGTGGGAGGTAAATCGCTGCAGTGCTTTGAATGTCACGATATCACATGAAAAGCCCCAGCCTGCATGTCACGCCCTGTGTTCGTCGCGAATTCATATTGGCAAGACCCCAGCCTGCATGTCATGCCCTGTATGTCGCGCCCAGATGTCAAGACCGCAGCCTGTATGTCGAGCGCCGTGTTTTTCGTGACAAGGCCCCAGCCTGTATGTCACGAACTCAAAACCCCAGCCGATATGTCACGCCCTGTGCTTGTCGCGAGTTCATTGGCAAGACCCCAGTCTGTATGTCACGCCCTGTGTTTGTCGTGAGTTCACATGGCACGCTGTGTTTTTCGTGAATTCATATGGCAAAGCCCCAGCCTGACAGCCACGTCACTCCCTGTGTTGGTCGCGAGTTCACATGGCACGGCCCAAGTCTGTATGTCACGCCCTGTGTTTGTCGCGAGTGCATATTGGCAGTGCGCCTGCTTTGCGCATTCTACTGCTGGTGGGGGTGTTTGCTGTGGTTATTCCGCACCCTCGGTGTGGGGTTGACTGTTAGATCTTAAATTCAACTCTTCTCCTCGCCCGGTCCACTCCTCGCCTAACCCCAGGGTGCCCAACCGCAGCGTGTCCCTGGAGTCGAGAGAGTGTTGCTGAAGTGCCCAACCTCAGAGGGTCCCTGGAGTGCCCATTGCCAGAGTGTCCGAAACAACCAAATTCGTGCGCACCCCCTTTTGCAGCTCCTCCAAGCGGGGGGTCCCACAGGGGCGTGTTTGAGGATACCACTTTGCACCAGCCCTCTTGTGCCCTTACATATAGGCACTTCACAAGAAGCAGCACGCCCCATTATCCCCAGACACAATACGAAGCTGCACAAAATATTAAGATTTCGCCACTGTTTCGCTGCACTCAGCCCGAAGAACGAATCCTAAACTCCAACCTTTAGCTCGTAGGGCTGGCCCATGCCACCACTGCGGGCGTGTTGAAGATATACGATATCGCCGAATGAGGGGCGTATTTAAGATATATCAGGAACCGGAATGGCCAAATGAGGGACGTGTTATCTCCAAATCGCCAAATGAGGGGGCGTGTTTAAGATATATGATGAGCGGGCATCGCTATTTGAGGGGGCGTGTGTGGGCACGTTTAAGATACATGAATGTATGATGAACCAAATAGACAAATGAGGGGGCGTATTTAAGGTATGTCGTGAACCGGAGTCGCCAATGAGGGGGCGTGTTGAATATGTATGATGAACCGGTATCGCCAGATGAGGGCGCGTGCTTTAGAAATATGATGAACCCGAATCGCCAAATGAGGGGGCGTGTTTAAGATATATGATGACTCCGAATCGTCAAATGAGGGAGCGTCGTGAGGGGCTGTGATTAAGATAGATGGTGAAACGGGAGCTCCAAATGAGGGGGAGGGGAGAAAAATGAGGGGGCGTGTTTAAGATATATGATGAACCGCTGGCTCACTTCTTGCTTTGGACATTTCTTGGCGAGGACAGAAACAATAGAAAAATCAACAAACTTGGTGCTCCAACACCTTCTTTTCTCGAGCGACACAGGACATAAACCGGCAACACTGGCGGGTAAAAACGTTTCAGGGTTTTGCGCAGCATTGCGCAGCATGTACCATGGCAGTGATTTATCAACACCAACACAACAATGATACATCAATACTAATACAACCATCCAAAGCCCCAGAATGGCGCTGGTTGCCATTGGGTTTTGCGTGTGCGTTCCTTAATCTTGCATTTGTCGTGCTTGCAATTCGACCTTGGCTTCGCAATCGCCCGCCCGAGTCACACAGGTTTTGGGCTAAGCAGGAGACTGACAATGCCATTCGGGCAAAACAGCATACTGCATCACATGGGACGCAGGCGTGTTTCGTTTGTGAGGGGCACATGTCGGCATGGGTTGCGGCGCATCGGCCAGCCAGGCGGGCAACAGGGGGAAGTATGTGTTGCATGGCATGGCTTCAAAACACAGTGTTGAGTTTATTCTTGTCATTTGAAAACTGCGCCCACACAGGTGTCAGTGCCGAAACGACCCAGCCAATTGTTGCGGCGATCGTCGCACGAAGTTGACAATCCAGATCCAGAGCTGCAGCTGCTGCTCGAAAACCATGGTCACCTGGCTCGTCCATCTGAAGCGTTAAGCACATGGAATTAAAGGGGTTTCGCCCCTCGACAACACCCTCTTGATTTCGTTGCTTTGGCATGTTTTGGCATATGTTGTTTCGACCAGACATGTTGGGACAACACAGTCGGAACCAATGTGCGTGCCTCACACAAGATCCTGGCTAGGCCTGTCTACGCAAATGCAGTCTTTGCAACAACTCGGCGTGACAAAGCCTGGTCACATCGCAGACTTGCTGGTCACCGATTTAGAGGAGGCAGTTGTCAAACACATGCTAGGAAATAACGCGTTTGATTTTTTGTTCGCAGGTAGATCTTCAATGATACTCTGCCGCACTGCAATAGTATGGTTTTGCTGCCGCTTCCCCCCAGTTGCCAGGCAGGCTTGTCGCGTGTTCAAATTCGCCAGCTTCAACGAGCTGTTGCCCGAGCGCCAGCCTCCACCAGTGCCTCGTTGAACGAAGGAACTTGGACATGACATTTTGTGGTCCTCATTTTGCACTGCGAGACACCAAGGTTCCGAATCACCCGTGGTTTCACCAGTTGGAATTCGAGCCAATACCGGAGATGCAGCGACTACTCCGGCCAATGGCGTCACAGTGTCTCCGAAGGAGTGTCTTGCTGAACGTGTGGGTGCATGCTTGACCAGCCCCGAACGTTGTATGGACTGTCATCGTTAAGTGCCGAGGTCAGTGCACGCAGTCCAAGATGCAATTCCTGACCCAGCACCTGTTGTTGCGGCCCTTTGCCTAGACTGCAGCCAATTGGAACGATGATGCAAAACTACCTGGCGCGCTGTGCTTAACTACGTCAGCAATCAAGAATCAAGCCATGTCGCAAGGCACAGTTCGCAGCTATCCCGGCATCGATACCGTCACATCCTAATGGGCAACCCAAGCACCTCGGAAGAACCTTACTGACGGATTCCTGGGCTTGTCCGATTTTGGGTTCTGCCATTTCTGCACATTCCAGGCCCATCACTTCCGGGCACGGCTCGCTGAAGGAGCCTGGGAACATCCCGGGCTTAGATGTGAGCCCTGCTGACAAACTCTGTGCGGACGATGGTACTCAGATGGCAAGAAACACAGGACAGGCACCTCCGAAGGAGAAAACGCCGACCCATCAGTCTGGCGGAAAGCCGCCCTTGTACAAAAATGCGTTTCCAAGCCCGAAATCGCCATCTGTCAGCCCCACGCAGCATTCATCACCGGCCAGAGCGGCCACAGATCGTTCTAGAATTGATTCCCGGACAATACCTGGGAGTCCCCCTCTTCCGCACAGTGTGGGAGACGATGAGGATGATGCGCATGCCCACGCAGATAGTAACATCGAGAATGCTGCAGAGCCGGAGAGCACCTTGGAGTTTGATGTGACTTTGCTGCCGGAACTGGCGTCGGGGAAGGAGGACCTGGTGCAAGGATACGTTCCATCCCCAGCTGCAAATGCGCCGGCAAGGCAGGGCAGGGACTTTGCCTCCAATGTCTTCCGATTGTGCCGCTTGTGCATCAAAGCTCCTGTGCTTCACGCGGCAATGTAGCTGCGGCCCGTGAGGCTGGGCGCATTTGGGGCTGGACCGCAGCCGCAGGCTTTGAGAAACGCTTGATCCAAACCATCCGATGCATGGGAGCATGGAGCACTGTAGGGGAAACCGTAGGGGAAACCCTGACTTCTGCATACCATTGCTGTAGATGGTGCAAGGCTGGCTTCAGCGCATTGCTCTGCTAGGTGGGCCGTGGAGGGCCTGCGCCCAGCGCCCAAATGCCAGCGGCGCTTCGGCAGCGTCTAGAAGCGCGCGAGGCGCACGGTGTGTGCGACCTGCAGCATGCAACTGCAGGCGTTTAGTTTGCCACCCCCAAAGCTTGTGCATAGTCCTCCCCTTTGCCAATAAGCAGCAAGAAGTCGTGCAGTATTTGTTGGCTGGAGGAGGAGCTGCGAGGGAAGCGAAAGAGCCGCCCGTCCGAGAAGTCGGACGAGCCCAGGACCGACGGGACCAGAGAAAAACTCACATCTGCAAATGCTCGCAGACTCGCAGTGCCTAAATGTTTTAAGCTATGCCAGAGCCTCGAAGGGCCGTCTGTTGTTGGCAGGACGCGCAGCCCCCCCACTCGCCGCAGTGCCTCTGAAGGTCCTTCCGCACAGCGCGTGCAAGCCAGGGGCCGACCTGCCTCTGTGGGCGCCGTGGGGAGGCGCCGCGGGCAAAGCCATGCTTCCCAGGTTCCCATGTGACCCTGGCCTCTTATTTTTGTTCAATAATCTGCCACAGCGCTTTGCACAGGGCGCTTGTCAGTCGGATAAATCAGCCCACGATAGCCCCCCGCCCCTGGCGAGCCCAGAAGCACATTGTTCTTGGAGGCAAATGTTCGACAAGAACGAGCTCCGGGCCGCCCACCGCGACCTTTTCGTGGAAGCCATTGAGAAGTATCAGGCCAAGATTCCGGCCACTGTAGATTCGAAGGCAGATGGAACGCACCTGCCGAACCTGAAGCCGGTTCAGGTCTATGCACGGAAACGGCCCCTGTTTAGCGACGAGACCGCGAAGCGCAATGACTTCGATGTTTTGCATGTCATTCCTGCCAAAGGTGCTTCAGAACAGCTTGTCCTTCACAACTGCTTGTTCCAAGCAGACCTCCGAACCCCAATGGTGCACCATCTACGCTTCGCATTTGATCGGGTTTTCTCGCATGAGGCAAGGGATGAGGAGGTGTACCAGGTCTGTGCTGCAGGCCTTGTAGCAGCAGCCCGCGCGGGACAGGCAAGCACAGTATTGATGTTTGGGCAAACAGGGAGCGGCAAGACACACACCATGAGGGCCATCGAGACCCTTGCTGCAGAAGACTTATTTCGGGATCTTGGGAAGAACATGCTATCGATAAGTTTTGTGGAGCTTCGAGGGGCGCGCTGCTTCGACTTGCAGGTTGCAAACTTGCCTGAGCTGAAGCTTCGAGAGGTGCGTGAGGCATCCGCAAATTTCTTCGTGCCCGAAGGTGCTGTGGAGGTACATCCTCAAAGCGTCGGCGAAGCCTGCGCAATTATTCAGACCGCCCGACAGCGCAGAGCTACCTCTGTCACAGAAGCAAATGATGAAAGTTCCCGAAGCCATGCCATCTGCACTATACGGCTACTGGATACGGGAGGTTGCTTGACTCTGGTGGACTGCGCTGGAACAGAACGGCGGAAAGACTCCGCAAATCACACGCGTGAGCGGCAGCATGAGGGAGCCGAGATCAATGCCTCGCTGTATGCCCTCAAGGAATGTATTCGGTTCATGTCCACGAGGCAGCGTATCCCACAACACGCTTTTCGAGCCTCGGCGCTCACAAAGCTGCTCGCACGATCGCTGTCTCGCTTGGAAACATCTCTCCTGGCCGTCATTTGCACGCTAGCGCCGGCGGCATCAGATACTGAACATACGCTGTCTACGTTGCGCACGGGCGCGGCTCTGCGAGTGAAGTCTTCTTGTGGGACCGAGCGGGAAATACTGCAAAGCGTTTCAGCGAAGAATCACGATCCACACCCTCGACAATGGTCTCCTCATGAAGTACATGGCTGGCTTCGGAATGTCGAGAACGGCTGCTTTGCGGCTGCTTGGATGCGTGAATGATAGGTGTGTAGCTGCGATCAGGAACGTAGGTGTGCTGCTTTCTGGGCTCTGTGCAGCAGTGCCGCAGGAAGACGCAAACCACCTTCAAACTCTTGCGAACTTAGGTCTTCCTGATAGACTCACACCAGTAGTTTTTTTTTGTTTTTGTTGTTGGGTGGTTTCAGGGCGCTAGTGACATTGGAGTGTTGTTCGGGTTTCGTGCTGGTACTTCGGTTATTGTCATTGCATGTACCTGATGGGCATGAATCGCTTGATTTGAGTTTTGCACAGGACGTGTGCGCAGCGCTCCCCGCGGAGTTCACCGGCCAGATGCTAGCGCCTTGTCTTAAGAGGACTTCCTGCTGCATGTGCGTTGCTGTAGTTTCATTGTAAGAAAACAGGTTATAGCATGCAACAGTCGTCCATCGCAAAAAGAAGTGCTTCCTTTCGAAGGGTGGGAAGGCTAGCAGCTTAGCTTGTGCAAAGACATGAAGACACACGATTCAATGATATTCAATGGCAGCCTGCGGCAGCCCCAGCTACAGAGATGCAGTGTTTCACCATGTTTCACATCTGACCTGGGTCGGGGGGGCAATGTGTGGTTTTGCGGGTTGCGTTCGCCTGGTTGCTCGAATGGTTTTCATGAGACATCTGGCTTTGTGTGTGTGTGTGTGTGTGTGTGTGTGTTTGCCTGCATGTCTGTCTCTGTCCGTCTTTGTGTTTGTTTCCGTGTCTGTGTTCGCCAAGTTTCAACATGATCGGGCGAGAGAGGGAGGGTTGCTATGTTGAGGCATTGGCCTCACGTGCCTTCGCATCGATGTTGAACTCCAACTCCGACTCCGCGGAGACATAAGATTGTTACGACCTCGAACTCATGCCCGAACCAGAGTTTTGGAACTCGATTTCAGGATTCGGGAGTTGCGGTCTCTCAGGAGTTTTTTGGGCTTAGAAGTCGGGTGAAGCTCGGCCTATGAGAATCGGCCCTCCGCAGCTCCAGGTTCGGCTCACCGAGGCTCATTGTTCGCGATTGTGCGGCTCGCCAACCCGAGGCCGGGAATGAAACACAATGCATTTCGATGAAACAGGGCCATGACCCCTTGGGCCTCGGGAGTCGTTTTAAGAAGTCGTTGTTATTGTCGGCACCGTCTGGGACTTTTAAGAGGCCAGCTGCTCTTCGAGCTGCTGCGTGAGGCCATGCGAAGTTCAAATCAGACACAACCTTAGCAGGCAGAAAAGGTGCTTGCCCTCCTTGCCGCAGTTCAGATCAGACTCTGTAGTTTGCTGCTGCCTTTTGGGCTTACAAAGCTCTCATTGCAGCTTCAAGCGAACCGTACTCCATGCTCTCACTACAAGCCTAGCATCGCAGCAAGCATGTCTACGGGACAGAACTCAGGGGCCATGTCGAGTCAAAACGAGCTTCGTTAGCACAATCAGCACGCCTGGCCAACTGCAACCAAGTCTAGCGATCCGCTGTGCCGGCATGACCCGGCTGTCAGCAAGTCTTGGCTCTGCGGCAGGCCAGCGGAACCGTCCAAAGTAGAGGCATAGCAGCAATTCTGTGTGAAGTCCGCGTGCTTTTCTGCCAGGCTTCTGGATCGCTGCAGTCCTTCTGTGGACGTATGCAGCAGGCGCTTAGCGTGTTGGACCATCTTGTCTACAGACCCTGAGAGCCATGGGAAAACTTTACCACTACTATCTGCTGCAATTATACCTTTTGTATAGTAGGTTTGGAGCCTTCCACCACAGGTCAGGATGCCTGCAGAGCTGGAGATGATTGCCCAGCTACAGAGGACATCCTTCCAGGGATAGCTCGCAGATAGCTTGAAGCCGATGAATCATCGGGGACATCGGGGGGTTTTTTGAGGCAACAAGTACGCTGCAATAGCAAGGGCCTTCCCCATGAGGTTGCATTAAGGCATGCCTTGCGCGAGACGGCTGGTTCTGGGCTCTGTTCGCTTGTGTGTTTCATCCTGCTGAGGGCATCCTGTGGCTTGGCCATCTGATCACTTCTCTGCATTATGGTCCCTTTCTGGGGCTACTGTTATAAGGGGGCCCCGAGTATTTAAGGTACCCTAGAAGGGACCATAATTCAGAGACGTGACCATATGCAGTTGTTCAGGGCCGCTTTGAATTGCGGGGCCCGCTGCTCTGAAGTCAATGACCCTCACGCCCACGCGTGTCACCCACACAAATGGTCATTTTTTTTGGAGGGCCAGGACTTCGATACTCAGAACCTATCGCTGGCCCTGAGGATGCCCCCAGAGCCGCAATGTAAATTGCAATCTTTGGGAGTTTGGTTTCCTTTTTTTGTTCTGCCCTGTATGCAAGGTACTGAAAGTCTCACCTTATAAAGATTGCCTGGCATCGGTTCGGAGGGCGGTTGCTTTTAGAGTCAAGAGCTGGGATGGCAGTGGCTGTGTCAGGACGAGAGCCGAGACACCTCGGCACTGGTGCAGCTGGAGCATCTCGGCTTGATGTGGGACCTGGGATTATAATCCGAAAGGGCATCATCGGCTCCCAATCTGACATGGGGAAGACGAAGAGCAGGGCGGTGTGGAAGCTTTGGCGGTTGCGGCTGAAAACATTCATTCTTGCTTTGGCTGTCAGGCTGTCGTCCTCAAGAACTGCACAGCTGGACTTGCAGACCCAGAGTGTGTCTCGGATTTTTCTCGTTGAATGCTTTTGCATGAAGCAGTCCGTGCAGAAGTTGGTTTTTCACTGTCTTCAAAACTCCGCCGATGTTCATATCATACAAGTATTACCATATATATATATACATATATATATATATATATATAGATTTTTTATATGTGTAAAAATGGTCGCCCCACTAAATGGACCCAGTTTGGCTTCTTTCTTGTTGGTATCCTTGAGGGAAGATGGTTTGTTTTCCTAGCACCCTGAAGAAAAGACGCATATATGTTGGTTTTTCATGAGCCAGTGATCGGAAAACTGTTGTTGCCGGGGCAAAGATGGGTTATGGAGATTTTCTGACGCAAAAGAGATTTCTTCCCAGGGCAAAGGCAGTCTCAAGCCCAAAGCACACCTTTTCCCGCAAAGCCGAAGAAGCAAAACCACAATTGTTTTTCACTACCTATGGGGCTGCACCTTCAACCGATGTTTTTTTGGCTTTAGACGAGACAAGATGCTGTTTCGTTTGGAGCCATCTAGGGGAGAAGATGATTGTCTATCACCCTGTGACCGACAACCTTTTTTTTTCCCGGAGAAAGATGTTTTTTTGTTTTATTGCTTCTTCCTGAGCCAACCATCTTTTTGCAAGGGAACAGATGGATTTCGGAGATTTTGAAATGTGAGTTGTTTCTTCATTTTCTTTCATGTCTAGCTTACTTCGCAGATTGCTTTTGCGTGTGTGTTCCACTCAATGAACTCTGCAGGCTGGTGGGCGTCTGACAAGCCCAACCCTGACACTGGCAGACTTCAAGAAAGGGTCCACGGCTTGTTACGACCGAGGAGCGGAACAAACCTGGGCAGTTGTTGACTCGCACCTTCACGCCCGACCATTTGGGGGTCCACCAGTGCCGTTTGCGGATTTGCTGGGCAGGCTGAGGAGGGCCGGCATCCTCTTTACGACGTTGTATGGCATTGGCCAACGCCTGCCGATTGATTCTACATGCACTTACTACTTGGACTGCCCTGGTGAGAAGATAACACCAAGCTTGAAGAATGATTTCTTCAATGCACAAAGTGTCCTAGACAACAGCCAGGCGTTGGCTGAGAGCCCAGTTGGCCCGATGATTACACTCTCTATGTCCTTCCTCAACCTCCACAAGGCGGAGGAAATTCTTGACAAGATGAAGTTGCTCCAAGCGGAGTTTCCCAAAATGTTTAAGTGGGTCGGCGAGATCAACTTGGTAAAGCAAGCGCTATGGAAGAACGAGCAGGGCCTCCCCGTGAGCCTGGAGTCGATTAAGACGTGGGGGCCCTTCATGGCGGAGCTCCGGAAACAGGACATCCCCTTGGCCTTGCATGCTGACCTTGGGGATGACCGGGATGGCAAGAAGTTCTTGCCCCTGATGGATGAGGTCCTGAAGCTGTATCCAGAGAACAAGCTCATCTGGATGCATCTCGGTGGGCTTTCGAAGCAGTTGGATCCCAAGCTGTCTGCTTCACTCCTGCAGAAGCCTACGTCCATTGAGGAGCATGTGGAGCTCATCAAGCAAAGGCTGCAGAAGAATCCCAAACTCATGATCGACCTCTCTTGGGACATTCTTTATGACAATATCTATTCTTCCCCGGCTGAAGAGAAGCCCTACATCAAGCTCATTAATGACTTCCCGACGCGATTCTTGAGTGGCTCGGACCATGTGGCATCAGTCGTCAAGACAGAGGATGCGTACAGTGCCGGGCTCAGATTTTTGGTCTGTCGTCTGCTATCCATTTCAAGCCGGCCGTTGCCAGCAGCGTCAACAGAGCTCTGTGGCAATGGCGCCTGTCAGACATCCCTTTGTCATCCTTTGTTCTGTTGCAGCCTGTCCCTGTCAAGGACACGAAATCAATAAAACCAGCGAAATCTACCGGCATTTGAGTGATGATGCCTTTCGCCGCATTGCACTTGGCCAAAATTTTTTCGAAGTGGCAGGCCTGTTTGTTGTCAGTTCATGAGACGCCGAGACTCATGAGCGTGGCTTCAGGAAACTTCTCAGGGTGAATTCCAGACTTGACCGTGCCTGCAGAGGACTGGATTTCACTGCCCCGGGCATTTGCGAGGTCGCGCGAGCTTGAGAAGTAAGCCCACAGCAGCACTTGCCGTCGGCCGTGGCTTATGTTAACAGCCAGAGCCGATTTCGCTGGCAGGCTGCGCCTCCGACAAAGCAGCCACATGCCCAGAAGCTGGCCCAGGCAACTTGGAGACATCCCACGGTCTGCGATCATCATGTCCACATGTGCCAGGTTCGGCCTCCGGCAAAGCCAAAATCCGAGAAACAGGCAGGAAGAATCTGTGATGTTCATGTAACAAACCTGAATGAGCATCATGCCATTCATGCTTGTCTGAGCACCCTGCAACGCAGGCAGAGGCCATTGAGCAGGTGCGCAGAGCATTCATGTTTACTACGTGTTAGTGAAACGTCTTGATAGCGCAGCCGACTTACAACCAAAGCAGCATGCTGGGCTGGCCCAGGCGGCTCCTTCCCCGAAGAAGCCTTCTGCAAAGACGCCGAAGGCTGGAAAGCAGGCCTGGGATACAACATGTGGTCATCAGAGTCGATTTCTCCATTCCGTGCGTTGGCGCGCGCAGCAGGTTGAAGATGCGGCATCAGCGGCACCAGCGGCACCAGCATTCATACAGAACACCCCACCCCTCTCCCTGGCGGATTTTGCGGCGGACTCTTCGACCTGCTATGATCGCATTGCATTCGACCAGTGGCCAGTGGTTGATGCACATCTCCATGCACGGCCTTTTGGAGGTCCTCCTGTGCCATTCGACCAGTTGATTGAGAGGCTGCGGCGTGCGGGCATCCTCTTTGCTAATCTCTACGGGATCGGCCAGCGCCTCCCAATCGACTCCAACTGTACCTACTACCTCGACTGCCCGGGAACCCCCATTCGACCGAGCTTGAAGAATGATTTCTTCAACGCCCAGAGCATCCTGGACAACGATGAAACTCTCTCGACGAGCCCGGTTGGGCCAGTGCTCACACCATCCATGTCTTTTTTCGATCTGCATGCGAGTCCCAAAGACAATGTCAAGAAGATGAAACTATTGCAGCAGGAGTTCCCAGGCATGTTCAAGTGGGTTGGAGAGATCAATGTCGTCAAGCAGGCGCTCTGGAAGAACGACCAAGGTTTGCCGGTCAACATCAGCTCGATCAAAACCTGGTCGCCCTTCATGGCTGAGTTGCGCAAGCAAGACATCCCCATTGCGCTGCACAGTGACTTGGGGGATCAGTCGAATGGGGAGAAGTTCCTGAGCCTTATGGATGAGATACTCAAGCGGTACCCCAAGAATAAGATTGTATGGGTCCACATGGCGGGACTTTCAAAACAACTTGATCCCAAACTTGCGTTGGTTCAGTTACCCTTGGTGGCACCCCTCACAATTCAGAGCCACGTGAAGCTCATTAAAGAGCGCTTGGACAAGCATCCAAACCTGTTCATCGACTTGTCTTGGGACGTGCTGTATGATGAGATTTACGACAACAGCGCCGAGGAGCCTCGAAGACATCCTTGTAGAACGAGCTTCATTAAAAGTAATCCAAGGAGGGAACGCTTGCCCGACTCAGAGATTCTTGCCCTAGGAGCGTCGGTATGTTGACCTGCTGAATGCCTACCCCACAAGGCCTGAGCACAGGTGACTGACTGACTGACTGACTGACTGACTGACTGACTGACCGCCTGATTGACAGACACACACACACACACACACACACACCCACCCACCCCCACCCACCCACCCACCCACCCACCCACCCACACCCACCCACACACACACACACACACACACACACACACACACACACACACACACACACACACACACACCCCCACCCACACACACACACACACACACACACACACACACACACACACACACACACACACACACACACACACACACACACACACAAACACACACACACACACACACACACACACACACACACACACCCAGACACACACAGACACACACAGACACACACAGACACACACAGACACACACAGACACACAGAGACACACACAGAGACACACAGAGACACACAGAGACACACAGAGACACCCAGAGACACACAGAGACACACAGAGACACACAGAGACACACAGAGACACACAGAGACACACAGAGACACACAGAGACACACAGAGACACACAGAGACACACAGAGACACACAGAGACACACAGAGACACACAGAGACACACAGAGACACTCAGAGACACACAGAGACACACAGAGACACACACAGACACACACAGACACACACAGACACACACAGACACACACAGACACACACAGACACACACACACACACACAGAGACACACACACACACACACACACACACACATGCACACACACACACACACACATGCACACACACAAACACACACACACACATGCGCGCACACACAGACACAGACCCATCTCACACCAGTCCAGCAGGTGGGACGCTAACATGTCTTGCAGATTGGGAACTGTTGAGTTTAGGTGGTCATCAGGTGGGGCACAGTCATCTGCAACAAGATGAAGCACAAACAAGCTGGAGTGCAGCAACCAATGTTTCAATCTTTCTCGACATTGTCACAGCAAGCGCGAAGCATGCGTCCTCGTCGCGTGAAACAAGAGCGGTGGTTTGGCAGAAGCTGCCGGATGGATGCCATACAAAGTGCAACACTTGGACTTAGTTACGTTAGGAAGCGGCAAAGCTGAATATGCCCGAAGGCGCCGAAGCCACTGCTGGCATCCAGCAGTACCTTTCGCCAAAGGTACAGAGTTAATTCGCAGACGTATTAGTCGGATACAGTGCGGATACGCCACATGGAGGGCCGCCGCAATTTGGAGCAGGAGCCTGCCTGGAACTTGATAAAGTGAAACGTGAACTTCCGCTACAGTGTGCGCTCAGTGCCCTTCTTAGTCAGGTATGTACCAGCAGATGATGGCAATCAAGACATAGATGGCAATGAGAATCGATCCTTCTAGCCAGTTTGAGCAGCCATCCTGCAAGGCAGTGTGCGTGATGAACACAGAGAGAATCATCACCGTGGTGTCGAAGATCCGGAAATCTAAAGACATCGGCACATCAAAAGCCTTAGAAGCATTGCGCCATCTCCAGGGCTGACACGATGCAGCTTTGGGTACTTTTGTCCGCAGGAGCAAGGAGGCTTCATGTGACAATGGGCCAACAGGAAGGCGCACTTTATCACAGAGCGACAGCCCAACAAACACGGATACACGAAAAGAACATGCACCACAAACACCCAGCCCGAGCATCATGAAGGCAGGGCTACACAACGGAAGAGCAACTCAAGCTAAGTTTGTTGCAAATCTCAGAACTCATAAACGGTCAGAGATTTGCACTCAGCACTTGTCAATGACCCTTCTCCGGCGTGTCTTGAATGACTGAGCATGTCCGCAAGCCCGCCTGCCAGAGCCACTGAGCCCCGCACCCAGCCAACAATCACCGAGAATGGCACCACAAGCAAAGCTATCTGGGTCGATGATCCCACGGCGACCCCCAACGCTAAGTCCATCTTGCCCTTTGCAGCGACGGTGACTGCAGTTGCATGCTCTGCGGCATTTCCAACGATTGGCAATAGGATCACGCCGATGAACGCTCCTGACCAGGACTCGCTCCGTGCACACATCGTAACCTTCACTATGGGACTCAGCATCGCCTGGCTGCTCATGTCGTGACAACATCCCCCCTCGCCCTGCCATGGTCCCTGTATAGACTCTTATGCGATGATAGAGTAGGCATCCACCACTTCTCTTATCTGGATCAGAGACTCTGGATAGGTATGTACTGCTTCTGTGCAGTCCGTCGATTTCCCATGGACCCTGTGCTTTGCATTGCTTAGCTCATCATAGACCCTACCCGTACCTGTACCGGTGAGAATAGGTGTCTATCGCTTTTACTGTGGGCAGCCCCGTGCTGCAGCTTGTCGTTTCTCTCCCCGGCATGTACCAAAGACAATCTCCTGGCAGGCCGTACTCCTCGGTGACACCCTCGATAGAATCCACAAGGAACTCGGAGCACACCGCCACGGCGAGGGTGGCAAGGAGCCTCACATGTCATCTCGTGAATCTCGTGTCTATTCCTGGCACCCACCGGGCACCCTGTTACCCCACTCATCGCAGATGGAATCCCGACCGACAAGCGATTGAGACTGGACTGCCCTATCCTTCCTGTGCCCAAGAGGACCCTCCTGATTCCTTGCTCACATTTGCTCACTCCCCCCTGTGAGTGGACCTTGTGAAGGCACGCCCCGCCCAGCAGCCCTGTCTACAGACCCCTCCAACTAGACAAATGAGGGATCTGCAATGGTCAAGACGCCAAATTTGGAAGCTCCTGGCTCAAAAAAAACCCTCGCAATCTTCTGGGCTTTGCTCACACATCTTAAACATTTCTCCATGAAGCCGCTTGAAGTGCCAAAGGCAACCCCCATTAACGAGTGGGAAACTCCTAAACCCAAATGTCAAAGCAACAACAAAATCTCTTGGCCCATTGTGCTGGTATCTAGCCAGACCCAAATCGACAAAGCGATGAGAGCCAATGCCGGGGGGTGTTCGCCCAAACGAGCCCGGACTAGAGAGACCTCTCAAGGTCAAAACGCCGACTTTTTAAAGCCTCGCAGCTAAGCCCCAATGACGCCAAGTGGCAACAGTAGGACCGAGGAGCAAGCGGAAATGGAAGCATCCTCGTCCTCACTGGAAACCAGCTTGGCTTGGCATGTTGGAGCGTGCTGTGCACTGTGGAACCATTCCAACAGATTCAGTAGATAGTTTCGGCAGAAGCGCAAGAAAGTGGTTAGCAAGCGGTGGCAGGAGCGTGGCAAAAACAACAGATAGCTCCTCCTCACCCTCCGCGGCGAAAAGGTGTGCATGGGTGAAGAGCTGAAAGATGAGGAAAAGCACCTAGGGCGAGCTCAAACTTGCAGGCAGGTGAGACCTATTCATCAAAGGAAAGATAGGAAAGCACTCAGCCAACACTCCGTATGGAGGGAACTGCTCCAAAAAGACATCAAATGTTAACGATTCCTTGTCGAGCGCCGACCAAGCACCTAGAACTTATCATGCTAACCTATCTTGCTCCACGGGTCAACTATTTTCTATCTCCTTGTTCCATGCATGCCAATTAGGAACCCTTGCGCTTCGCCGTTGCGTCCCTTGCGCGTGCCTGCGCGCGCGAGGCTTTCTCGATATTTTTGGGTTTGCTGAGTGAAGCATCCCTGACAACAAGCTTGTGCAAAGCTTGGTTTCGCTCTTGTGTGAGCCTGCGCACACACCCTTCGATCATAATCATGTCACAAGAGCCCGTCAAAAAAGAACAAGTCTCTCATGAAGGGATAAGGAATCGCAGCAATTCCTAGGACTCTGGAAAACAGGGGCTTGTCATGGGAAGAATCATGGCGAAGCATGCCCCTTCTACTCTCAAAGAGTAGAGGAACATAGACGCCCGCAATCACCGCCGAGGAGATGCGTGAGATGCTCAGCACATCCTCCGTGGAGGTGTTCTCCTAGGACAAGGCCCCAAGCCAGGAGTGCTGAGCCCATTCACAGGGTGCCAGTTCTCTTCGAGGCTTTAACGGGTTCCCTTACCCTAAGCGATATAAAATGATAAGTGTATGTGTTTATATGTTTTGCAGTTTTGCAGAACAGGCCAAGGTGCCATGCAATTGTAGATTGTGGGTAAGGCCAGAGCAATGGACCCCAGTGTCAAGCAGGTCATGTTGGCCGAGGCCCCCTTGGCGCTGAATTTGCTCTCTTTCTCGTGCACAACCCCAGCGGCAAAGAAGGACATGCCAAGGACCAGTAGCCTGAGACTCTGAGACAGTCAATTTTCTGAGATGCTTCCTGCAAGATGCCACATAAACACGTTCAGAGAACAACACAAATTATGAAAGCTCACACGCTCAAGGACTTAAACAGACCTTTTCCTGACTTTTGGGGACGAGGTGCATGTTGGAGAGGATGGACCCCAAGAGGCTTCCCTGCACTACATTGACAAGGCCGGCCTTGATGGCGTTCACCGTTACGATCATCTCCACTGCGTTCCCAAAGGTTGCATTCAAGAGCCCGCCGATCATCTGGCCCGTGTGGGAGGCCAAGGCTTCCGTGGAGGCACCCAAGATTGCAGCCAAAGGCACGATCGCCACGAAGTTGCACGAAAAGCGCGCTGCGGCACTCCAGTGCGCAAAGTGGCTGTAGACTCCTAGGGGCACAAAGACAAGGAGGACGTTCATCGGGGTGCACAGGATCTGGCCAACTCCGTGGCATTCCCTGCTGCAGCCATCCTGACCTTCTTCGACCTTGCCTGTGAGGGGCTGCTGGGGACCAGGCACATCTGAGTCATGTTGAGAAACATGGCTGTATCCTAACTGGCCCGGGTGTTGGCCCAGGTGTGACATCGCCACTAGGTCGACTTTGGACGGCGCGATGCACGCCTAAGAGGATCGGCCGCGGATACCCATTGCCCGGATGGTTTCCCTGGTTCCTAAATCCCAAGACCTACGTCAGCTGAGCTTTATTTACAATGCCTGAGCCTTTCCTGTCGTGTACCACATGGGTTTGGCTGAGTTGAGCTTGCACATTTTGCATGGATGGCACTGTGCACGAGCACATTCTGGCACCCTCGAAACAAATATGGCGATGGTCAGGGAGCGGCTGAAAGCAGGAGTACCCCAAAGACTGGAGACAACAGCTGTGTGCAAGGATCCGAGCCCGTGATCTTCAATCCCAAATTTATACGAATCTGTCTTGAACGCCACAGCTTAAAGTCGGATGCTGCTGTGCCCTATCCACCCGCAGCAAGTTTCGCCTCGATTGGTGCAAAGTGGCCAGCCACTGCAGTTATTGAGACTTTCAACTTTCAAGGGGCTACTGCAATTTCTGAGAATCGGAACTGGCTTTTGTTTGGCGAATGATGAAGGGCCTCCATCGAGGCGTGGTCGCTTCGCATCCGGCTCGATCGACCTGGCACCACATGGGAGATATTCCAGGGGGCTTAAAAAGCTTAGAAACGTCCGGTCTTGACCTTCCAGAGGATTTTGATGGCTTGTGCCGGCCCATGTTGCATCTGCCCCTCCATACTGTTTCCACAGTTTTCACACAGTCAACGGAGTCAACGGTCAGTCAGCAGTACAGTTAACACTACTGAAATGCAGTGTTAACCAATATTTCTTCAGATTGATATCCAGTCGTCAAAAGACGATTAACCAAAAAAATCGCAAATACATTCAGGAGCCTTTCGGGAATGTCGGGGACTGGACAATATAGATTTCGCTGAAACTCATGTCTTTCCGTTTATCTTACTCTAGAGCCGTCAGTAAGTAAGTGGTGCAGGATTTCTGCCATCAACCGTGAGTCCTTGCCCCATCCTTCCACTCTCAACCCCGCATTTGTTATAATGTAACTGCACCAAAGCAAGTCGTGGCAGGAATGCACATCTGGTAACATCCAGGAAACCTCTCACCTGTCCAGCTTGGCATGTCATGGCATGTGCCACGAATGGAGAACATCGGACACATACAGCAGATTCAAACATGAGAGGCCTGACCCTGAAGCTGCTCAATCTAGATTAACTTATCTGTGGGAGCAACCCACAAGCCTAGAGTCGCCGTAGTGCCGTAGACATGGGCAATAGCAATGGCTCGTACCCCACAAGCTACAAGCGAAGAAGCTGCACCAGACTCACGGTTTTTCTCCACAACCTTAAACGGCTAGAACAATTCATACATACCCATCTATACATCTGTATACGCATATGCCATGATGCATCTTCAATATGCATTTGTGCTTATTGATAGGTATTTATCTCTATTTGTAGCTATTGTACATATATACATAAATATATGGTACCCCCCCCCCCAGTTATCCACACCTTTTCTGCTTGTTTTGTGTTTTTCTTGTCCTGGCACTGCGTAGTTCTGCTTTTCGTTCGTGCAGCGTGTTGATTTCTGTTTTCTTTCTTTCTTTATATCTGGTTGCTTATCTATATGTTTATATTGCACCAGCAGAGACCGCTACAAACCGTACAAGGCCCCTGGAACCAAGAACCAAGATTGCAGGGCAAGACCTCCCTGCAATCTTGGTTCTTGGTTCTTGGTTCCGGGGGTGGGGCCGGTACAACTTGTACCGTTTTGTACCGTTTTGTACCGGCCCGTGTGTCTCGACAAGTTTAAGGATTTCAAGGGCTTTGGAAAATTCAAAAGGGCCGGGCCTTTTCCCAAAATAACTATTTTGTTTCAAAATTTCAAGGGTTTAAGGAATTTACGGATTTTAAAAAGTTCAAACGGGCCGGGCCTTTCCCAAAATGATTTAACTTTTTTCATGTTTTGACGGAGTTTAAAGTATTTAAGTGGCCTTTTACATTCCTTAAAATCCTTAAAATTTTGAAAGCCAGAGGCCTTTCAAAATCTTAAGGAGTTTGAGGGCTTTAACGAATTGAAGGGTCCGATTAAATTCCAAAACTTTGAAAGGGGAAACGGAACCATCAAATAGTACGTAAAGGTGAGTCGTACACAGGGCTATAAGGCTCTAATCCTATAGGTAATGCCTCCACCTTAAACCTTTGAACCCTCTAGGCCTGTAGGTTTAAACCCTATAGGGCTAACCCCGTGAGGGCTTTAGAGATAAACCTTGAAAAATCCTGAACCGTTGAACTTTATGGGGTTTAAAGGTTTAAAGACCTAAGGTCTGGGCATGTATACCTTCAGCACCTCTAGGGTTAAATCTTTTGAGACTCTTAGAGCCCCACAGGCTTTCAGGGTTGTGACCTTAAAGAGCTTAGGATTTGGAGTTAAATGCCTAAACCGTAAGCCCTTATGGTTTAAACTCTATGGGCTTATAAACCTTGAAGACCCCTAAACCTTTGAACCCGATGCCTGCTGAATTCTTTGCATTTCCACCAAGCCCTAAAACCAGAGGCATAACCATATGGGATTTTAGATTTAGGGATTTGCGCCTCAAGCCTTATCCGCCGACCCCAGCTTTGAGCGGGGGAGGCGCTAGTGAAGACTCCATGGCGTCGGCGTAACCCCGCACCTTAAGCTGATTTTAAAGGGCCCCAGTCCGTGCCCCGCCCTTCCCGCCCTTCCCGCCCTTTCCGCCGGCTCCGCCCAACCCCTTCCCCTGCCCCTCCCACTTCCCTTCGCCTTCCCAACCATTCCACTGTTTCAGGGCCCCACCAACCCTTCCCCTTCCCAACCATTCCATCCATCCTCCTCCCCTACCCCTTCCCCACTAGATCAGATGACTGACTTTCAAGACTGACTTCCGCCCCCTCCGCTCCCCCACCCCCCTTCCCCCCACCCGCCCCACCCCCCCCCACCCCCCACCCACCCCACCCCCCACCCCACCCTCCCCCCCGCCCCCTCCGCTTGCTCCGCCCCCTCCCCAACCATTCCACTCCATCCTCCTCCCTTACCCCTTCCCCCATTCCACTCCATCCTCCTCCCCTACCCCTTCCCCCCCTCTCACCGCAACCCCTTCCCCTGCCCCTCCCACTACCCTTCCCCTTCCCAGCCATTCCACTGTTTCAGGGCCAATCCACGCCCAGCCTGACCGCTCCCCTTACTCCACCCCTGCCTTCCACCCCCCAACCCCCCAATGTACGGGCCTCTGGCAGACCCGTTCAGCTGACTTCGAAAGATGGCCTGCCATCCTTGTTCTTGTCCGGTTTGCGCGGAGCATCAGGTTGAGGGGTCGGCGGCACTGGCGGTAGCCATTAAATAGGATTTTTCAGGCTCTAGTCCTCTAGGCGCCTAGAGGCTTGACCCTAAAGGGTTCAGGTTTAGATGCCTAGATCGTAAACCCTTAAGGTTTAAACTCTATGAGCTTAGGTTTAAATACCTGGATCTTCAGTCTTCAAACCTATTAACCCAGTTAAGGGTTTAGGTGTAATTGCTGAAGCCCTATGAATCTAAAGGTTCAGGTTTCAGGTTTGACCCTAAACCCGATCGGCTTTAAGCCTTAAACCCTATAGGGTTTCGGGGCGTCTCTTTTTATAAGACTTAAACCTTAACCGATAGGGTTTTAGAGATAAGCCCTGAAAGGAAAAGCATTTCCAAAAACCAGGGAGCGCAGCGGAGCGGAAGGGAGGGGAGGAGGTCGCTGTGCCCAGTGTTTGGACAGATGGAGAGGACTCAACATCTCAAGGATTGCATACTTTTTCGTTATGTAGAGGATTGGGTTATTGGGAGGGGGGGAGGGGGGGGGAGTTCAGGGGTCACCGCGGCCCGTGAACGATTTAATTGGCTGGGAACCACAAAAGCATGGATAACCGCAAAACGGCATGGATAACCCAGGTGGGGGGTAGCAAAAAAAAAAAAAATATATATATATATATATATATATATATATATCCGCCGACCCCAGCGGGAGCGGGGGCGGCGTCAGTGAAGACCCACTGCTCCTGAGTACCGCCTTCACCCCCCAGACTCTAGTGCATGCCTTGCATTGTTTTATGGCTCATGGCCCCATGCCCCCATGGCCTCCTGGCTCGCTGCACCATGCGCTTCCATAGCCTCCCGGCCCCACGGCCCCATGGTCCCATAGCCTCAAGGGCACCAGCGCACGCCCGCTGGCTCCGCTGCCAGGGCCCTGCCTCATGGTCCCATGGCCCCAGCCTTCTACCAAGTAATGGAGTGTTTTAAGGGCTCCAGTGCATGCCCGAGCCTCCCTCTCGCTGCAGCGGAGGAGGCTCGGGCATGCACAGGAGCCCTTAAAACACTCCATTACGAGAGGGGGCCGCGGGGAAGGGGCAGCAAGGGCAGCAGGGGTAGTTCGGGCATGGACTGGAGCGCTTAAAGGGGTCGGTGCCCGTGTTTCAAGGGGAGTGTTTCAAGGGCTCCAGTGCATGCCCGAGCCTCCTCCTCCTCGCTGCCCTTGCTGCCCCCGCCGCTCCCCCCGCCCTCCCCGCTGCCCCCTAGTTCTGGAGTGCTTTCATGGCTCCAGTCCATGCCCTCTAGTAAGGGAGCGTTTTAAGGGCTCAAGCGCATGCCCGAGCCCTTGCTGCCCCCCGCCCTTCCCGCTCCCCCCGCCCTCCCCGCTGCCCCCCAGCTCTGGAGTGTTTTCAGGGCTCCAGTCCATGCCCGCTGCCCTCTAGTAATGGAGTGTTTTAAGGGCTCCAGGCTCCAGTGCATGCCCGAGCTGCCCTTGCTGCCCCCGCCCTTCCCGCTGCCCCCTAGTTCTGGAGTGTTTTCAGGGCTCCAGTCCATGCCCGCTGCCCTCTAGTAATGGAGTGTTTTCAGGTCCAGGCTCCAGTGCATGCCCGAGCCTCCTGCCCTTGCTGCCCCCGCCCTTCCCGCTCCCCCCGCCCTCCCCGCTGCCCCCTACTTCTGGAATTTTTTCAGGGCTCCAGTCCATGCCCGCTGCCCTCTGCTAATGGAGTGTTTTAAGGGCTCCAGTG